TTCATGCTGCTGTAAGCATCTCCAAGATACTCTTCGAGCAGATCATCCTCTTGAGACGTTGGGAGCGGACCCAGTGCTGCTGCGAGGGTGCGAAAGGTAGAGCCGCAGCATTGGGGGTTGGTACAACCCGGCAAGCACAAACGATCACCCCGCTTACGGACAGTCTCAGAGAACGCGTAGCTGTATCCCTGATTGTAGGCTGGGTTGGGCTTGAAGTCTTGAACGGTAAGTTCAGTATGAGGACGATCTCGAAGTCGCCCTTGCTTCTTTGTTGCTATTCCACAGGCTTTGCGCAAACCTGCACGGGAATCTGGAGCCCTCATGGTCCATATTTGACGATCCTCAGGTGTGGGGTCATCGCGAGATTTCGACCGAGTGTTGTGACCGGTCGTGTGAGGGGTTGCTCTGATGCGAGAGGTCTTTGTTGAAGGTGTGATATTTGGCTCAGTCTTGATCTTCGCAGGTTCAGACTTCGGTGTCTGTAAAGAGCCCTGGAAGGGCGTTTGAGGGGGTTTGACAGCACGCAATCGTTGATTTAATTGCGCTCGAGCGAGGTGGGGCGGCAGTCTCCGCTGAACAGTGACATGACCAGCCATTTCACCCGACTCTGCGAGTACATCATGCGCTGCCAGTCCTCTCATACCAGAGAGCCGACTTCGTTTATTCGGAGGTTCGTCGAAAACATTGTTGGGTATATTTGGGTCAAGGGGCCGAAGGACATTGTCTCCAGGATGAATCGCATCCGAGGGCTCACTATATGCGCGCTCATCGGCGACCGCAAGTGGAAGCTCAACTTCGCCGTGTTGAGGTACGGAGACATCAGAGTTGGGGTTGCCTGCTTCGAGACTTGGGTCAAGCTGCTCTCTCTTGACATTCTGTGAGAACGGTGCACTACTCGATCTCTGATGACGTAGCGTGCCAGTTGAGTTAGAATGGTTGCCAGTATAGCTTTGCGTCTGGTGGGGTGTCTTCAGTATACTTGGCACAGGCTCATCAAGATCAAATGTTTCTTTTCGCAGCAGTAACGTCGAGACGGGGATAGGTGGGCTACTCCGTGGTTCCTCCTTTACGTTGTAAGGCCTCGCCGGAGTGCCATCAGAGGACCGATCAGCGTATATCTCGAACCTCGACTTTGAAGGTTGGCCGCGCTTCCGCTTGAGGGATCGCTCAGAGACAAATTGCGGAGCATCGTCGTCATCCTCCGCTTCAATGCGACGTGCTGAAGTTGATATTTGCTCACCGGGCTCATCCACAGTCGTCTGACTCGAGCCTGGATGAGCTTGCTGAAGGTGGCCATACACATTCTCTTCTCTGTCCGCTATCTCATTGTCTCCTACCACAGGCGACGATCTAGCAGCCCTCTCCGTACCTCGATCTCGACGTTCGTGGTCGAGGTAAGCTGCTGGCTTCGGTGTGGTGGAATTACTCGAACGTCGACCCTCCCTACCCGTCGTTTGTACTGGAGTCATGGGTTGATCCACGGCTTGCTCAGATAATCGGAGTGACGCCTGTGGAAGAGGCACCATAGGGGCTGGTGAAGAACGTCCAGGGTGTGCCGCAGATGCTGGTGTTTTGACAGTCGCGATGGATCCTGGGCTGGAGGGCATGTGAGGGCGATCTTCATGAAGATGAACTGCGGATGCAAGTCGAGAATGAGGTCCCCCAGTACGCGCCTCGGGTTTTAGCTTCTGCTTCCCAGATTGCCGGTCAGCATACTCCTGCCATGCGCGGACGCTCTCCTTCATATCCTTGTTCTTTTGCATAACAGCTTGATTCTTCTTCTCCAAGTACTTAGCCTTCTGAGTGACATCCTGGTACTTTCTGGTCAACTCGCCAAATTTTTCGTTGAGCTGACGGAGTTCCTCCTGTAATGTAGAAGCATCGTCTGAAGGTGGGGAACTCCGTCTTGGCACATTCTCTGTGGCTTCATCTCGCCTTTGAAGTTCCTCTTTTAATGATTCATTCTCTTTGGTGAGGCGTGCGGTTTTCTTGATTTCCTCGTTCAAGTGGTTGAACAAGATCTGTTGATTCTCCTCCTCTGCGCCACGGTGAGTAATGCGATCCTCATGAAAGTTCAGACAGAAGACTGACTTTCTTTCAATTCAGTCTCATAGTCCTGATCCTCTGACGCGTCGTTAGTTGTGGTTGTCGCGTGCGAAAAGATTCATACTCTTCTTCCATTGTTTCTCCAAGTCAGGCGCGATGATTTCGTCATAGGCGCGCGTCCATAACGCCTTGTGCTGCTCCATCCAAGCCGCAAGATCAGCCATTGTTCAAGTAGTCCGCATGATAATGCTGCTTCGGTGAGGTTTGATTGCTTCGGTCCTGGTAACAATAATACATGATGTTGGGTGCATTAGGCGGCAAAGTCCAATAAACGCGCTAGTGCAACGCGACATCACGGGCCGAAGCACGTGCCATAGTGGCGATAACGATAAGACATCGCAGGTCGGGGGCGCGTCTTGACCACCAAGTCCAAATACCTTGCGATGAAACGGTCGTATGAAGATGAGAGTTATGAGGAACAGCCAGCCAAAATGCGCCGGCTGTCGCGCCCGGATAGGATTTCTAGACTGAGTGACGAATTGCTCGTGCGCATATTGTCATTCATCCCTGTACCTTCCCTTTTAGTGTGCCAACGGTATGAAAGTCAAAACCTTGGGTGTGGCCAGGTGCTGATAAGATAGGATATCCAAGAAGTTCAGCCGTCTCTCTATCGACTCTGAACTTTGGAAAGCTGCATACTACCGCGCCTTCGTCCTCCCGCGCGCCTCTCGCATACCTGGCATCAAAAACCCCGCCACTCCCAATCGCCTGCACTACTCTTCGAGACTTTCAAAATGGCTGGATGATAGTTATCTTGTAAAAGATGGAACTAAAACACACTGGAAGCAGCAGTACAGACTGCGACACAACTGGACACAAGGACAATGCGCTGTCAGCGAGATTTTGGTCGCGGAGAGGCCGCCAGATCCGCCGCTGCTCGTCATGATGTCCAACAACATTGTGTACGCAGCTGACTCAATCTCCGGTCTAAGAGCATGGAGTTCAAAGACTGGAAGAAACCTTTTGGCCTCGACTAGTCTTATAAGCGATGCGGACACACCAAGGTTGCCCGTCTCGATGGCAATAGATGCTTCAGAGAAAGACGATGGCGCAGAAAGGGTCGTGCTGGGCTTCGAAGACGGTGCTTTCTCAGTCTTTGCGCTGAAGAGAGAAGAGAAGGCACTGGAATGTCTCTATACCCATCCCGCATCAACGAATGGCATGCTCTCAGCAATTGCATATGCATCGCCATACCTTCTCACAATGACAGAAGACCATCTACTGTCCTTGTATGTGTTCCCAGAGACGTTGAACACGGCACATTCACTTGAAGATCCACAACTACTATACTCGTTACGCTCGAGCACGGCCTGGCCTCCGGTGTCTCTGTCGCTGCGAACGACAGTATCAAGCATGACCGCAGCGATCGCTTACTCGCTGCCGACATATCTTTCCGGCTGGACGGTCGGGGTACAGGAACTCCGTATCTCGCATGAGGGCGAACTACTGGAATCGCGTCTTGCCACAGCCGCAGACGAGCATTCATTCACGCTCTCTGCATACCGCTCAGCTTCCTCGCCGTCCACGCGCTCGTCATCACCATTTCCTGGCAGTAGTCGCGAGAGTGATTTGACCAGTGGACCAAGCAGATCGAAGCCTACATCAATGTCCTATTCGCATCCCTATCTTCTCGTTGCCCACCCCGACAATACTCTTTCGCTATATTTGGTTCGATCCACGTCTTCCGCACTATCAATCAGCTCGGGCAACCGTCTTTGGGGTCACACTTCTTCCATATCTGGCGCACATGTTGGTATGCGCGGGAAGGCCGTGTCAGTCAGTCGTCTAGGGGATGAGCTACGCGTATGGGATCTCGAAGGTGGGATGGCATCGTTGGCGAATCGGAAACGATCTCGTAATGGCGAGCTGAGTGTACGCGTACAGCCTTCAAAAGTCGTAGATGATGAGGATGCTCAAGATGAAGATGGTACTGGACGAAAACATGGGCTTCGTGTTGCACTTGATCAAGGCTTTGACGATTCCACGGTCAGTCGTGGCTGGGTTGGTTTTGACGAGCAGAATGTGATTGTGCTCAGGGAGAAGAGCGAAGGCAGTCAGGCATTGGTAGTTTACGACTTTTCATGAGCTTGTGGAGGTTGACACATTATGCGATTCTCATGAGATACCCACTCAGTTCTATGTAGTTCAGCAATAGATAATTTCATATTTTGACCAATTATATCTCATCATAATATTATGTGATCGGAATGGCCAGGTATTTGAGTGCAATTACAACCAGGAGTCGAAATCAAGACGGCGTGGGCCCGACATCTGGTCACCTACTTGCGGTACAATCGCTCGCGCAATGAGCAAGTCTGTGGACGACTGCTCTCGCAGCTGACAACGATCAAAGAGCTTTGAGTGACCTTTAGCTATGAGTATGATGTATACCAGAGACAATCTCGTCATGCTCAAGAAGTTATTCGTAGCCTCAGAATACGAAAGAGCTCGTATCTATTAAGTCACTATGAAGTACTGTCATAATCGCCGTTCGCCGTAGCCACCACAACGCACTAAAATTAAAGGTAAAAGTCTTCAGATCTTGCGTGTATTCTCTAGAAGTTATTGAAATAGTCATTTATTTTACCTGCCTGTATTTGTTATCGCCTTGGTGCTGTATAGGCTCACGCGTTGTGCGATTGACTTGAGATGGGGACACAATAAATACGAGCTCCTTCGTATAGGACACCAGGCAATAACAGTTCGGTCAACCTGATACTTCTGCTCGTGCACAATGCTAACTAACACTTGTGTAGTCCTACACCATGTGGGGTAGGGTCTCATGTTTATTATTGTGCCAAAAAAAAGTTCGCAATTCATCGCCCCCCTCATTCACCACCACCACCACACCCTTCCCACCCACAACACCACCACAACCTCTCAAAAAAGAAAGCTGCATCGGCCGGGAATCGAACCCGGGGCTAGCCGAAACTATCAGACACAACTTGGAAGAGCTGGATCGTGGATGGCAACGGCTAATTTTACCACTAAACCACCGATGCGAAAGCATATGATTGACCTCGAAAGGAATTGTGACCTAACCAGGGGTCGAACCTGGAATCTCTTGATAACAGATGTGAAATCGTAGTCAAGCGCCTTGCCATTGGGCCATTAGGCCAGTCAATTGCTGGTATTGCTGATTTGATGGAAGATTGGAGAGTTGATAGGAATATAATGTTGTAACAAAATTTGCAACGTGAGTGCGGCGGGAACTTCATTAAACCTGGAACTAGCGTCAGGAACATCAAGATTGAGGCATGGTAGAGCAGTGTGGGGGAACTTTTTGCGCGGAAGCAATTTTTATTAGTGGGCGGGCGGGGCATGTTGTAGTCTCAATCCGGACTAACACAACAGGACTTTTATACAAATAATACGACTTGCAGGCGCCTCTCCCGCATACCAAAGAGCTCGTACTTATTATGTTTCTATACCACGTTACCAGCACAACGCTTAAGCTGATATAGTAGCAGGAAGACAACAAAGGTACTACAGCTTATTACAGTATTATCTTTACTACTTATAGAGAAAACACGTAAAAACTAATCACTCTAAGTAGACCTTTTAGTGTGGCGTGTTGATCACAGTGCTTGGTGACTCAATGAACGCGAGCTCCTTCGTAGAATACACCAAGATCTGCTACTTCAATCTTCCCTTTTACTGCCTTTTATTCAGTCCTGCCAGCTAAGATCATGAGCAACGCGGAAAACCTCCATCTTACTAGAAAGAAGATTCTCCCTGAGATAACAAATGGCCTACCGACATAGTGTCTTCAACGGAAGAGTTCTATGGGAGTAATGTGCTTCCAAAATAGTCCCACTAACGCTATACACCTACATTCTATCGTCTACAAAGTGGACTGGCTCTACTTAAGGTGGGGGATCTTGGTAGGAACCGGTAGCATGGCAACGGCTAATTTTCCGCGCAAACCACCGATGCAAAACTTCGCAACCACACACACCTCCAAACGTTAAAATTTCTCGACCTATGTTTTAACCTAAATTATTACACGAAAGAGAATCTCAGTAGGATCTGTTTTAATTCATCATCTGATAGGAAAATCACCCAATAAATGAGCAAGTAAAATTTAGGATTTTGATTCCGCTGTCTTGGAAGTCTCATGCCGATACAAAGATGCGAAAACATCAAATCTACAAAACAGCCAATTCTCACACTGCAAACTACAATACAACGTTACACCGCACGATGGAACATCATTTTCGATCTAAGTAGACCAAGCTACCCTACACTCTTTCCTGCCCAATCCGCTTTCCATCTCCTCTAACCATCGTCTTCCTCTTCCTCTTCCTCCAGCGCACTGGGATACTCAAATACAGGATTCGCACTAACATCATTCATTGACTCAGATGACGCAGCAGTATCTGAAGTAGAACCAGTCATAACCTCTTCCTCTCCCATCATTGGATCTTCTCTTTGCGAGAGTAAGAGTGCGTTACGTTCAGCTACTGGATCTACGTCCGTGGAATCGGGTTGTGGTAAGATGAAAGTCGAAGGTCGAGTTGGTGTTGGGATTGTAGAGATTGCGCGACCGGGTGTTTTGACGGCTGTGTCAGATATTCCTTGTGCTGGAGTAGTGGGCGCTGTAAGCTGATCGTTGGATGCCCCGTTTGAAGCCGATATTCCCTCGTCCATAGACTGAGCAGGCTCAAATTCATCTTGTGTCTTCGACAATCCCCCAGCCAGTCCAGGATCCTTTTTATCCTCAGGAGGAGCATCTAATCTCTTCGTCATCGACCTCGTCACTCTCCCTCCATCAGACGGTTTCGGCAACACTTCCGCGATAGTCTCCGCAGCCGTTTTCCGTCTCTTAGCAGGCCTTTCTTCCTTCCCTTCATCTAGATCGGGCCGCGGCGTATCGGAATTCCTCTTTAATAACCCCGTCCTTGAAGCCCTAAAGTCCAACTGCCCAACGTCCGTCAGATCCGTAGAAGGCACAACAGGCGCTCCAAGTAACTTCAACTTGAGATTTTCCAGATTCTTCCTCGGGTCGACGTCCATGTCATCGTTCTGACTTGCAGGGACAACCTCTTCGTCCCCAAAGCGCACCATGGTTACACCACCAAGACGTTTTTGGTTCGCCTGTTGCAGTGTTGGCAGCGTTGATTGACACGTCTGGTCATTCATCACGTAGTCTGGGCTCCACGCGCGGGGTCGAGGGTAGGCTGGTATATTCTTCTTCGCAAACTCCTAGTACGCGTCTGGATTGCGCTGCCATGGTTCGACCTTTTGGTGGACCTTTTGCATCTTGAGGGTGATGAACGGAGGGCGTCCGACGGCGGCCATGCTGGTGCTCTTCGATGGCAATCGTTTGGCGTAGCGACTTGTTCCCCTTGGAATGGCGGGTGTATACACGCTATCACGGCGCTCGATTTCTCCCACTGCTGCAAAGCGTGGTCTTTTGTAACCTCTACAAGACCTGCTCAACTCTCTCTCGTATCTTTTGTACGTCTCTACCGTACCTTCGTCCATCTGAGAAGAGGGTGATGTATCAATCTCCTTAGAAGGCTGCAATCCTGCAATTGCCTTTGACGGTGAATCTTCGTCGCCTTCCTCGAGGTCAGGATCGGTAATTTGTAGCGGAGCACTGGCAGCAAACAGCGGAGGACCCATACAACCCGCTCGGCGCTTTCCATAGGCCTTGCTAGAAGTGACTGGTGGGAATGACTTAGAGCCAAGGGACAAGTTCGATACCCTGTACCCGGCCACATCTAGCAACTCAAGAGGTTTTGGTCGTGGTGAAGGAGGCGAAAGAGGGCTTTTGCTATCAGCTAGAATCCCAGTGAGGTCAGTTATGTACGAGTCCAGCGATCCGGCTGATGAGGTTCCTCCCTTTCGTCCAGATTTCCCTTGTCTTGTCCTCTGATCCCTCAAGGAGGATGAGGTCGTCTGACCCTTGTTAGTCGATTTGGGTCCACGTAAATTGCGTTGAATGTCTGTCTGAGGGCCTTCCCCAGGACACCTCATTGGACACGGCTTTCCATGATTTGGGTGTGGTGAGCCATCGCCAGTCACGTTCTCGTCATACCATCGCTTCTCTATTGGCTCTGGATAAAGGTCTTCGTCAAATCTGAGCTTGCTGTTGATCTCGATATACCACGACAGAACGGGGTTTTCCGAGACCAAGAGGTCGCTTCCGGGGAACCGTGGCCTCCAGATTCGCTCAAATTCCTCGACTTCTGTTTCACAATCTATGAAATCCTTCTGCCAGATTTCGTCCAAGAATTTCATGGCAGTTGAAATGAACTCGGAGCTGACGATGACGTCGGTGGAAATGCGGATCCACCAGGGAAGCTCGTCAATCTCGTCTCTTGTGTGAGGCTGGAGCCGACTGTCCTCTTCTGAGGTTATGTTGTTTTCTGCAGGTTCGGTTAAGCGGCAGGATGGAAGTGATAGTTCAGGAAGTCTCGAAGATCTATCGCTTGACCCGAAGTTCCCATCAGATCCTATCAGCAGCGTGGGAAAGAGACCAGCACCCGAATCAGATCGTCTCTCTTTCGTTGTGGTGTTCTTTTGTAACCAATCTCGTAATTTGCTGCGCATCTCATCGGAGTCTGCGGCAGCGTTTTGTGCTCCGTTTCCTTTGCGCTCAGCCCTTTGTATGTAGGCATGTTGTAGGTCTCTTGCAAGCTCCATTTCCTATGCTGGAGCTGCCTCAGCCTTTTGTGGTTGTAGACGGGCTGAATTTTCATCGTATGCGGTAGAGTCTTTGGGAGATGTTGCGGCATCTTGCTGCGCGGGCGTGCCGGTTTTCTTTTCCTCAGACATTGCTGTATCTTGAGGCCGTTTGGTCGTCCCAGCATCCCTTCCATCAGTCGTCCCGAGCTCGCCTTCTTCAGTCGATCTAGTATCCTCCGACGCTTCAGCGCACTGTGCTTCTGCCGGCCCATCGATCTGCTTCAGAGTCGTCTGACCGTCATCTTGTGCCTCGGACCCACTCTGCACCTGGCCCTCGACAGCCGAAGTGCGATCGTCGGTCCTGACTCCTTCATCGAGTAAACCATCCTTCTCGCCTTGTGCGTCGTGGTCATCGTTGGCAGGACTCTGCAGCGCGGTGTTGTTACCCATAGTGAAGGTAGTCAGTTTCGGTGTAGCGAAGGTATGCAAAGCTAGCAATAACTATGGGGTAGCAATGAGTGCTCACGCGGTGAGAGAACGTGTAATCCGGTGTGGTGAAAGAAGATGTGATGCAGTACATTGCCACTGCAACTACGCGCCACACGAAATCCAAGCTAATTCAATCGTTAGGAAGGGACAACACAATGGAAGTCCCTCTTTCCCACCTCACATGCAGCTACCCTCTTCTCAATCAAACATCTCTCAAAACCTCGCTTTACCCAACCGGTCCCCCCTACCGCAACAAATCAGCATCTAATCTATTCACCATCTACATCCAACCTACCTCTCAAAAACCATCGTATTAACAATACTCCCAATCCCCTGTACATACACCTCCACCACATCCCCATCCTTCAAAAACCCCTTGGGCACCCTAAACATGCCCACTCCACTCGGCGTCCCCGTCAAAATCGCCGTGCCAGCCCTCAACGTCGTCCCCGTACTCAAATGCTCCACAATCTGCGCAACACTCCAAATCATATCATCGGTGCCCGTTTCCTGTCTCTTCTCGCCATTGACTTTGGTCCAGTAGTGTAAAGTTTGTGGATCGGGGATTACGCGCGTGGACGCGATACAGGGCCCCAGGGGCGCGAATTTGTCAAAGGATTTGGCGAAGCCGTGTTGGCCGCCGGAGAAGGCGGGAATTTGGTAGTTTCGTGCGGAGACGTCGTTTGCGACGGTGTAGCCCAGGATGTAGGAGTGGGCGTCGGCCGCGGACACGTTTTTGCAGTCCCGGCCGATGATGATGGTTAGTTCGCCTTCGTAGTCGAGCATGGATTGGCAGGGTGGGGGGATGGGGATGGAGTCGAGGGGGCCGGCGAGGGCGTCGCGCGGCTTGGTGAAGATGACGGGGTGTTTGGGGATGTCGAACTGTGGGGGTTTGGTTAGTAATTTTTCGGTGTGGATTTCATGTTCTGAATACTTCTTTTGACTGTGTTGGGTTGGGTTGGAATTGGTGGGTTCGTACCTTGGCTTCTTCAGCAT